GTGGTTAGTTTCTTTCTAATTGCAGCATTGTTCCAAGCAGGTAATATTTGTTCATACGTGCAGAGTATGGGATGCAGATATTTTAGAAATCTGAATAAAACCAAACATTGCAAAGGTATTGCACACCATTATTTTGCTATTGTAGCCAAGCAGACCACTGAATAGCTCAGGACGGTATCTCATTCTTTGTTTGTATATTCCCAGCAGAAAGAGCTCACGTCAAAGAAAAGAGATGAATTTGAAGATATCTTGGAGGAAAGACGGTTGTCTAGTGACTTGAGATATGCAATGAAATGCTATACACCTGTGATCTACAAAGGGCTTTCACCATGCAAGCCAAATGCTATTAAAAGTGCTGTTCTCCAGTCAGAGCAAGTTCAGTACGTTATCAAGCAGGTGAGTCTGAATGCTGAGCTGTAAGAAAAAGCAGACTGAACGCAGCCAAATTTTGTGTGGCGGAAGGGGGAAAAAATGATTGCTGACCTTGTCAAACATGGTAGCTGGAGTTTGAAAGACAATCCAATAAATCAGTAACTTGAGAGCCATGCTCTTGGCAGCGAAAGCGAATACTGATTTACCACAGAGCTGCCACTGAACCTGCTAGAACACTAGTTCACGTAGCAGTGTTTTGACTCTGCGAATGTGACAGTTCACCCTTTAACTTTTCCAGTGTGCTTCGCTTCTTTCTTTCCTCTCCTCCACTGTCCTTGATGTAAAGCAGCATTCTGAAAGACACAGCACCCACTTTGTTAGTAGACGTTTTTGTACTTCGAGGGTGTCTTGTAGTCTTTTTATAGGCTGCTGATACATTACTCCCCCACCCTGTCATTGACATCTAAGTTCATTCTTGATTTTAAACAGCTTTAACTTGGCTTTTTTTTGTTGGCTGACATGGAACAGTTTCAGTAAGATTAGATGCCTGTCTGTCACAGAGAAAAGTCTTGCTGACTATCGTAATAGTTTTGCCATAATTGTTGCGGCACATGGAGCAGTGCGTGTGGAGGGGGGAAGGAGGAGATGACCTCTGACTGTTTTTTTGTTTGTTTTTTTCCCCCTTTAGTTAGCAAAAGAGACGGGAGAATCACCTGATATTATTCAAGAAGAAGCCATGGAAATCCTGGATGAGATGGGCCACAGTATGCAATTAGGAGCTGTCAGATTTTTTGCCTTTACTCTGAGCAAAATATTTAAACGGCTTTTTCAGAGAGTTTGCGTGAATGAAGAAGGAATGCAGAGAGTGAGTACTGTTTCAAAAAAAAAAAAAAGCTATAATACTTTCATACTAGTCACGCAGGAAAGATTTCAGTCTTCACTCCAAGTAACAAATACAAAAACGTAAGGATCCGTTAAAAAAAAAACAACCCTGCACTTGTGTTCATTATTGCACCTCTTAAAAAAAACAATACAAAGAAAAAAGGCAGATGCTGTTTAAGTATTTTAGATGCAAGTAGTCAGCAAAATTTCTTGCACTATTTCCATATGCTGCCTACAATAAAGAGGCATTTTTATACAAAGCATCATACCTCTTTTGCAGAGGTTAGGTAGATCTGCACTTGGAATACAGTTGGAAATGAATACGATATATGTAAGATTAGAAAAAAAAATTCTTTTTCATGCAGTTTATTTTGATGCTTAGAAAGGATTTGCCTAAGACTCTTTAATAGAATAATACTTATAGCCTTGCAAGCACGAGTAATGTGAACAGTCTTATTTACATCTTTTTTTCCATAGAGTTGTCATTAAAGATAAATAATTGTCAAAAAAGACACATTGTGATCTTCCTCTCACTTGTTCCCTTTTTTTTTTTCCCTACTCTTGTGATGTCGTTATTTTGCCGGCTCTACAGGGGTCTGAATTCCTAATTTTAAAAGAAGTTCTCTGTGCAACATATTTGGATAAAGTGATGTATGAGATATAGAGCATAGAGGAAGGAGAAGCATTTGTTTAAGAGTTTTGTTTTGGAAAAACTTTGGCCTGTTTTCTTTTAACTTAATTTATGTTATAAAGCAGGAAATAATACAGTACATCCCAGAAGCAATTCTCCGTGTGGGGTGGAACGTGGCAATAGCTGCCTGGACAGCAGATAAATACGAACGCTGGGCCTGGTTTTAGAGGAAACGTGGGTATGCGGACAAGAATATAGGCAGAAAAAGCAAGAGTAAGTTGCAAGAGTAGTCAGTGAATTACAATTTAAGTAGAGTTAGTGGATTTTTGAACTAAGTGCTGGAATACAGCTAAATTAACTGTGTGATGGAAAGCTTTGTTTATAAGGAGTACAGCATATGCGTAAGGAATACTTGCAGTTATGTTTCAGTGATTCTGTTAGATCGGCTTTTGTAGATTTAATTATGCATTTGGCTGAATTGGGGATGAAAACCTAGTGTTACGTGACTGAGGAGGTTGGCTGTCCCACAAAACCTTCATGCAGCTAAGATCCATGAAACGCTGTGCCCCTGAGACAGGGGACACTTTAAGTTTGTTCCCTGGGAAGCTCTTATTCCCTTGTTTCGTTGTAGGATGTCACTGCACTGGAGGGTGCAGTGTGCTCCCTGGAAGACTTAACGATGTCAACCCTGACAGCCGCTATTGGGTTTCCCATCCCCATCAAGGGATTTGCATTACGCTATCATGCAACGAGGTGGCCCCTTGCTTGTGAGTCCTGTGATGCTTGTGAAACCACACATTGCTATTATGGAAACTAGCTCCAAATTTCCTGTGGCGCCATACTGAAGGAGGTTTTAGAGCCCGTGAAGAGAGAAACCGCCCTCAAACAAATCAACTTCTGTTTGTCTTAAACCGCGCAAAGGTCTGCGTTTGCAAATTTCAACAGGCAGTCTGTAAATATTGGAACAATATTGTTTGTGATTTTTGTGTTTTCAGTTGCAACATGCCATTCAAGAGCATCCTGTTGTACTACTGCCCAGTCACCGAAGCTACATAGACTTTTTGATGCTGTCTTACTTGCTGTATACATATGACTTGGCTCTGCCTGTCATTGCTGCAGGAATAGGCAAGTATGTTCTCTAACAATGTTTTCAGGATTCAGAGGATCTGTAGCAAGTGGTCTGGTAGCTGCTATTATAAGAAAGTGTCTTTAACTTCTTTTCCAATAATGTCTTGGAATATCTGCCTTGGTTGAGATGCTTAAAGCGTCTGAAAGCCTCTCCATCTCTGCTGAGGAGTCTAATCAAAGGTGAACTTTTTTGGTAGTCAGTTTGACTGGAACTGCCCCAACTGCAGACACGAGGATGGGCAAAGATGGGTGTTGAGAAGAAGACTTCTGTGTATATTTTTTTGGCTGAAAACAGGCAAAGACTTGGTGAAGAGCTGCTGGGTATGCAGAGCCGTTTGTGATACTTTGTACAGTTTTAAGTGTAGTCATAGTAGCCAAATATGAAGTGCCTCATCCTAGGTGCTGATGTGACCAGTCCTCTTGAAAACATTGACAGAACTCCATTAAGCGAAGTGCTGAGAGCAGAGCTGGCTAGAAAATGAAATTTGCCTCAATAGGCATATTGCTGAATATATTTAATCCTAAAGCACGTGCAGCCAATTTTATTTGTGGAAATGAAAGTGTGGATTTTTTTTTTTGAACTTGGTCAGTGAATATTCTCTAGGTTAACATGCTTCTGAAAATCCTAGCTTTACGGTAGCATTTAGCTGAGAAACCTTTAGTGTCAACTAAGTCTTCTAAGTGGGCAGGCAGCAGCTGGAGATATGGTGCAGTCCTGTATGCACACAGGCGAGCTAGCAAAGATCTGGGAATGTATTAGTCTTCTGTAGTCTACTAGTTCATCTCTTTTGAAAGGGTAGGGAGTGAATGAGCCTGTGAATAAACAGATAAGGTGGTGTTCCTCTCTTTCTTTCCCCCTGCCCCCATGCAACATGTCACTTTTGTCATATTGACAAATTTTCCATTGCTTTCGATGGAAAAGCATTTGAAAATTTTCCGACAGTCTGAGTCGTTATCTGTTTTCAGCAGGTACTGTTTGATGTCCAGGATCTCTGCTTTGAGCTTCTTGCATGAAAAGTGCCACAGATTTGGGAACTGTGTTTTATTAAGTAGGCACCTGCAATAGCTAAAAGTTAAGGGTGGGTTTTTCAGGTCCATGTTAAGCTTAGCTTTTCTCTCATTAGAATGAATGAGGACAGCTGATTTAGGGTGTGCTCCTGAAATTTTTCTCTTAATACTCTTCTGATGCTGGGAACTTTTCAAGGGTGGAGGCTAGAGTGGATTTTTCTTTTCCAAAAGAGAAGTTAGGTATACCAGTAGAAAGACGGCAGAAGCTGGGGAAATATACTCGCTAGGGAAGACAAGATTCTGCTGATCTGTGAGTCAGAGGTATCTTGCTTCTGGGTGATACAGGTGAATTCTGGTGAATTCAGAAGCTGCTGTCTCATAGCTGCCTTTTTTAAGGAGCTGCAGCTGCTAACCTGTCACATCTTACTCAGAATTTGCTCACGTGCTGTTGTAGGTACCGGTGTGCTCCTTTGCTGACTTCTGGATTAGACCAATACCCGTTTTAAGTTACGGGTCTCAAAACACTCAAAATACTACGAAGTTAGCTTAGAGGGATTTTTAAATTATTAACTGTTTTTTAATGTTTTAGATGTTTTGGGGTCAAAGTTCTCCAGAATTAGGGTTTTGCAGCTTGGTTACGTTGCTCTGTGTGTGTGTGTGTGTGTATCGTTTTAAAGTCCTCTGTCTGGTGGAAACACGGCTCTCTCTGATTTTAGTCATATTTACTACATGTTGTATTAGAGGTTCAGAAGATGTGATACACAAACTCACTTTCAAAGTGGTACTTGTGCCGAGTGGAGAAATGCTCTCCTGATCACGGTGATAAGTACCTCTCCTCTGTTAGTTATCCCTTGACTCCAGGTACCATACGGACAGATATATGGGGATCAGCTACAGTGAGGTAAATAGCTGCTAAGTAACACTGCAGCATATGTGGTGCTGCATAAGCAGGAACCCAGCTGGTGGTGGGATCTGCATTTCTGTCTCACGACCTGGGACCAGGAGCAAGTGATGTTCAAGGCACACAGTGGGTGAGGGGGTATAGGCTTGAGGTATGTGAGGTCTTTGCTAATATATAAGTTATTATTTGTATTATAAGATATATACACAATAACACGTTGCTATTTATATACAATAGCATATATATTAATAATAATTGTGTGTATACCTACACACACATATATATAAAGCACGTATATGTGGGTACTAGAAAACTACATCAGGTCTTCAGGGCGGTCATGTCAGTGTTGCAGCTGGAAATGTAACTTATTTACCGAGGGGATCTCTGTTCTCAGATGTTTCACTGTTTGAGGTGACAAGGAGACAGAAGCAGCAAATGGCAAGCTGCTGCGTAGACTCTTGTTTTAAATGCCTCCCTTAAAGTTGTTAAAATAAGTGTTGCCTGGTTTTAGCAAGTTAGGTGTCTACCCTGATTGTGTAAAACTAGAAAACTAGCAAAAATTTAGTTGATCTGATTTGGGAGAGATCCCTCTCCCACCACCGCCCAAAAGGCAATGAATCAGCATCGCAAGTGGTATAACTGTTAACTGACTGGAATATACACTGTATACTTCTGTGTCTTCTAGGACGTATTAAATAATAACTAATCTTTCTGAAGATAAGTGAGACAATGAACATAACGCAGTCTTCATTATGACTGAAATCCGATCATCTAAATTATCGAAGGAAATTATTCTAAGTGTGTGCAGTGTGCAGAAAGCTTGAAAACATATTTCAGTCATGTCTACGTATGTCTTGCTTGACGTTCTGAAAGCAAGTAAAGGTATTTACAACAAGAGAATCCTTGAAGGAGATCTCCTTTATTCTGATAATTGAATCAGTGTTTTAGGGAAACTGGTTGACCCTGCTGGCTAATATTAATCAATGAGTTTTGTGTGTGTGGTTTTGTTTTTTGTTTGTTTGTTTTTCCAGATTTCCTAGGAATGAAAATAGTTGGTGAGCTGCTACGAAGGGCAGGTGCCTTTTTTATGCGACGTTCGTTCGGTGGGAACAGACTCTATTGGGCAGTTTTTGCTGAATATGTAAAAACTGTGTTAAGGGTAAATAAATTACTGAACTATCAAATGTTGGCTTAAGAAATACTCTGCTGCAATGATTCTTGTGAAGTATTCATGATGCTGTAGGTACACGATCGAAAACTTCACTGTGGTCTGAGGAAATGAATTTTCCCTCAGAGTTGATGCAAGCGAACAGCATGCATGCGCTCCATTATGCACTTCAACAATAGGTGGTAACCACAGCTCATCAGTTGCTTTTGATCATGTGCCTGTATCTCACGCACAGGCAAAATGCATCAGTTCATTTAGCTATATGGTGTGGCAAATACAGTGGGTGAATATAGGCTTAGAGATGACTGAAGTTAGAGGTGCATGGCTTCCATTTAAGAAACTTAACAGAAAATTTTGAGGGGAAGCAAAGAAGAAATATTGTTCTGAACATTTTTTTGTCTTGTCTTATTTTTTAAGAATGGCTATGCCCCAATCGAATTTTTTCTTGAAGGGACTAGAAGCCGCACTGCCAAGACTCTGACTCCAAAGTTTGGTAGGTTGGTTGAAAACTTGGAACTCTTCATGTTTATGAGTATTGTCATTCGTAGCTTATTTCTTCATAAGTTCCTCAGATAATGTGGGGTGTGAAAGTGGTGGAAAATGTGTGAGGTCTGTCAGAGTAGTGGAAAACGTTGTGGTTAGATTTTTCAAGGCCAGACAAAGGAGGACGATACAAGTCTGTTGCACTCTACCGCTTTCTCCTGTTGTCCCGCTGTGTACTTAACCGCTAGGAATCCCCTTGCCAACACAGAAACATTTTAAGTTAACTGTTTGTAAAAGAAATGAGGAGTCCTTGGAAGGAAGATGCTGTGGGAGTGAGCGCGCAGCAGTGCTGCTGAAAAGAGCACAAGTAGCCGACTGAATGCATCGCTTAGGTTTGCGTTGTGTTTTAAAGCTTGGGCAACATCTTGTGCTTCTGCTTGCTTGAAGAGAGAACGAGCGCAGTGCTTGTCGATTAGCAGCTTTTAATTTTTAATTATTTAATTTAGTTTTTGATCTTGTTCAAAGTTAAATGGCAGTTGCTGTTCCCCGCTCTAAAAAGACGAGTGTGATTCACTTTCTTTTCCTATTTACAGGTCTTCTCAGTATTGTGATGGAGCCATTTTTTAAATGTGAAGTCTTTGACACATACCTTGTTCCCATCAGCATCAGCTATGAGAGGATACTGGAAGAATCCCTCTATGCATATGAACTCCTAGGAGTCCCAAAGCCCAAAGAATCTACATCTGTATGTAAATTCCATAAGAACAGAACCTAATCGGATATATACACACCCAGTAGCATTAGAATTTGCTCTTCGTTCTCTCCATTTTCCTAGGGCTTGTTGAAAGCCAGAAGAATCCTCAGTGACAATTTTGGGTCTATACATATTTACGTTGGCCAGCCAGTGTCACTCAGAACCTTAGCATCTGGGAGGATCAATCGATGCCCATATAATTTGGTTCCCAGGTACCCCATCTTTCACGGTTTGTACACAGGAAAAGCATTTGTTTAGTCTTCGCCTATGTAAAATAATTAAGAGGGATACTTTCAGTACTTTGTCCATTTTTAACTTTTTTCTTTTCCCTGTAATCTGACTGTTTAGACCACCGAACCTGTTTTGTCTGAGCACAGGGTTATTGTGCTTGTGATTGTGCTTCTGAAATTGTTGTTACTTGTTGTTACTTGCTTTAGCTTTGTATCACGTTGAGAAACATCATATAAAATTATGATGATGCATGAGCCATGCAAAGCTCTTAAACAGAGAGAGACATTTATTGAGACATTTATTGAGAATTCAGTGCTTTTGCCACTTACAAATTCCACTTTTCTCTCCCTTCTTGCTTTGTTACTGCAAGCTGTTACTTGATCGTGCACCAGGAAGCTGTAGCTTTGACTGGATCGGGTGACTTTCATAATTTGATATCGAAATGTAAGGCCCTGGAATTTCTTTTTCTGCAGATAGCGAATGTACAGTGTCAGTGCGGAGCTCTTTATTTTAAATACGATCACGAAGCTGCTACTGTTCTGCTCTGTACTTCACATCTCCTGTGAGGTACATACTACATGCATAGAATTACTTTCTGGCATCTAACATCTGGAAAGTAGTTACGGATCTGGGAGCAATACAGAATAAATAAGGAAGGATATAATTTAGATCCTACGTTTCAGAGCTTTTTACCTTGAACTGTGTTGTTTTTTTCAGGCATCTTCCCCAAAAGCCATCTGTGGATGTCCAAGAATTTGTCACTGATGTAGCTTATAAAATGGAGCTCCTGCAAATAGAAAACATGGTTTTGAGCCCATGGGTGCTAGTTGCTGCTGTCCTGCTCCAGAATTTGCCAGCCATGGATTTTGAACTTCTAATAGAAAAGACCCTTTGGCTTAAAGGCTTAACGCAGACTTTTGGAGGATTCGTTGAGTGGCCTGGTATGCAGACAAAGTGTTATTTCTATTACTTTTGTTGTTTATGAAGGATAAATTTTATTTACTTGGGAGCAGTGTTCAATGACTTTACAGTATAAAGTTTTCATTGGTGGTGAGTCATAAAAGGGTTTTAGGGTATGCAAAAATGATGCTAAAAGCTGAAGGTTTCTGGTTCAGGCTGTAGAAGATGCTATTTTGAAAACCAGTGAGGTGGAAGCAGAACGGAGATTTTACTATTATTTCTTGAGGTATGGAATGAAGGGAAAATTATAAGGTGATTGTATTAAGGAGTGCAGAGATTTACATATTCCCAATCTTTCTGAACCCTGTCTTTTAAAATGTAAGTCACAGGCAATTACCTAATCCACAACAGTAACTTAGTATAATGCTGTTTGGTTCTTGATACTGACTGTAGTATAAATTGTTACTGTGGCAAAAAAAAAAAAAAAAA